CCCCCCCCCCCAGGGATGGCGTAGCGGATCTTCTGGTGTAGAGCATATGTCACAGCTTTGATCTTATTAATCCATGGTCGGCCCAAGATTCCGTTGTAGGGGGAGACCTTGTTCATTACCATGAAGGTCTGCGAGCAGACCACCGGGGGTGAGTGGATGTCAAGGTCAATCGTTCCCACAATGATTGTCGTGGCCCCATTAAAGCCGGTGAGCAATCTGGCAAGTTTGTTTATCTTGGGCTCTAATCCCATCTGTTGGATAACAGATAGTTGCAGGATGTTGGCTGCACTGCCCTTGTCCACGTGAATGCACTCGATCACAGCTTGTTGAATTTGGATGCTGATGACTAGGGTATCATTATGCGGCAGATCAAGCCAGATCAAGTCCTTCCTCTGAAAGTCGATGACAGGTGTGTCTTCAATGACTGGTTCGCTAGTTGTGGTTTTACTCTTCGTAAGTCTTGTATCAACCATGGTTGATTGGAAAAAGCTGTGGAAAATGGATTTGGAGCACGCTTTGAGTATTATTTCAAGCTCTCAATGAAAGCACCAATTTGTGGGAGCGATTTTCATCCCACAAGAATATTCGCCTAAGGATTCCTTCTTCCTCTTCGCTTCCCTTTCTCCCTGCAAAACAAATCGGAGTAAAAGGACCACACCCGAGAGGTGTTGACCAAAAGCCCTTCAATGCCTAAGTTAGTTCGATTGATTCATAGAGAAACAATAGCTAAAAAGGGTACAGAGCTCTCCTGGGGAGAATCGGGTGGTCGGAGCCTTGTGTGAGAGAGAGAAAGAGTTATGGTGGCTAGGGTTTGTGAGAGGGAATTTCTGCAGAGTTTCAGATAGAAGTTTAGACGTACCTCAACCCTTGGTGTAGCCATGTATTTATAGGAGCCTCAGAGGTTGGGGTTTCAGAAGAATAATTCCACATATTGAAAGGAATTATTCTTCCCCAATTTGGAGAGATTGATGTAATTAGGGATTTTATTTAAATCAAATCCTAATTAAGGCAAGAATCAATTAATTCCCAATTAGATCAAATAACTCCCAATTAGGTCAAATAATTCCCAAATTGATTGGCTTAATTATTTGACCTAAGATCTGAGATATTTTTCTTCCACAATCTTCCTAACCATTTCTACTTCCTTCCATTGCCCACTTGCACAATACAAATTAGGAGGGTGTATTTAATTAAGGGTGTATTCAATTAAGATTTTAATGGGAGGGTGTATTTAATTAAGGAGGGTGTATTCAATTAAGATTTTAATGGATTATTTTGAAGCTTAAAAGTACAGCAGTATTCAATTAGGATTTTTAAGTAAACAATAAAAGTCTGGTGGTATTCAATTAGGATTTTTAAATAATCAATACAAGTCCGATGGTATTCAATTAGGACTTTTAATAGATAAAAAAAAGTACTGTGGTATTCAAAAACTTACTGATTTTAATGTATTTCATTAAATGGTGTATTGTGTGAGACTTTTGAGTGTGTGATATATATACCAAATCACATAACAAATCACACCCTCCTATGCATGATTCTCATATATGCTCTCATACTTTTTCTTCCCCATTATTTTTTCATGCCTTTTATTGTATTAAAAAAAAAGAGATGATAAAGGGTCCACATCACAGCACAGTCCCCCTTTTTCCTCCTTTCCCTCTTCCTTTTTTTTTTCCTTCTAATTTTTTCTTTCTTTCCTCCTCCCTCCCCTGACCCCTCTTTCTCCTTCGCACTCTCCTCTCTCCCTCAGTGTTTAGTAAACAACCACCAATTTTAGATGATGAAAGTTGCAAACCAATTTTGTAAAAGCTCTTCCATTGGTTATTCAAATGGGAAGATCCAAGTAAAACGAAGGTCTTTATCTATTGAACAAAGCGCTACTACATTCAAATTATGTGTAACGGCATGGATCATTAAATATCATATTATGTATTACAACATCATGTTATATCTACAACTTTAATATTTTAATTGCTATATAAAATTACTTCAATGTCATTAGAACATTTTATTGTCACTTATTGAGTTATTTTGAAATATTTTCTATGATGTTGGTTCTCTTCTCCTGTCAAGTATTCTTTTCGCCCAATGTCGTAGTGGGCGTGCTCGAAAGAATACAGGAGCTGTTAGACCTACACCAATGCCCCGATTGTTTCCTTTTTGGCCCACGCAGATGCTATTTCAATATTCAACAAAATTGAAAGTTGAATCAGGTTGACAAGAAATCCAGCCCAGCCCTGTCTTGGGCCTAACTCCTGAAATTCTTCTGATTCATGGGTTCTGCTTTATAGGCGTGCCACTGTTGGGTATATGACCAGTCCAACAGACCTGGTATGGTCGAGCGTGGTTGATATTTTGTGGAGTCTGCGCCTTCTTCCTGAACTTCTATTCAAGCCATTGTGCACCAAGTGGGGTACTGGCCTAGTTTGGTTCTTTTCTATGCCCCAGTTAAGAGGACTTCACAATTCTTTCTCTCGTGTGTATGTCGGCTATGGCTGGGGCGAGCAACACCTATCCAAGCAAGGGAAAAAGACAAAGTTCTTGGTCAGCAAACACCTCGCGCGGGTTTACGAACCTATGTCTGAATTAAAATTTTTATATATAATTTAACCACAATTTCGGGCCCAACTATATGACTTTCGGGCCCAACCGGTTTGTATCCCTCAAGCCTATGCGGCCCGATTCGGGCTAAAACCTTTCGTGATGTTATAGTTTAACTAAAAGAAAGCGGGAAATGGCTTAAATATCACATATATGAAAATGGAAGCAAACATAAGCAGAACAGAGTTCTTTATTGGGCTTGGGCCCTTGCCACATTCTTTTTTTTTTTCTCTGGGGAAGTAACCAGTTTTGGTCCATTGACCAAAATTGGGTACAAACATTGCCCCCCGGTTTTAATGGGCTTGGGTCAAGTCTATTAAAACTGACCCCCAGCTTCCTACGATGTCCAATCGTACGAAAAGAGAATTTTTGAAAGTAACGCGCCAAGTTCGTGATAGCAACTGTCCTATCACGTCTGGCAATTAATTCGGCCTATCAAAAGAAAACTTCTCAGTTTCTTGCTTTTGAAACTGTTTACCCAATACTCACATTTCTTCCCAACTTGCTTTCGCGCTCACCATCCTTTCCTTTTCCTTCGAAGAAACCTAAACCAGAAAAAGAATTTTTCGCCATGGCTCCAAAGAAGTCAAAGGCTGCGAAAGTATCTACCGGGGTTCCTGAGTGGCTTTCCGAGCAAGCGGCAATGGAACATGCTGACGAGTTCCTCTCGACCCTGGCTCAAGAGCAGATGGATGTTCTGTCGCCGGTTTATTCTCCTTTCCCGATAACCTTGAGAGGCCCATTTCAGACGCCATTTCTGGGTCCTTATTATCTTCGAGCCAAACCCGAAGGTCTTCTTTCACTAGATACTGGATTTGTTCGTGCTCCATTCGCGTATGGCTTGGAGGACATCGATTGGAGCACCTGGGAAGCCAATCTGGAGCGGTTGGGCTCCAACCCTGACGTTTGGAAGCGGAATAGGATATTCTACGCCATTCTGCTGTCGAAACACCGGATTGATCTGAATCCCTCGCTGTTGGGGGCCGCTCTCTGTTTCTGGGACAGTACTTCGAACACATTCGCCTTCGGGCCTGGTCCTATGACCCCCACGATTTTGGACATGGCAGCCCTTTTTGGCTTCAGGCCCTAGGGCGGAAATATTGATGCACTAGGTGATTATGAGTTGGAGAATTGGCGGGTCAAGGTTCCGATGAAAGCGAGCAAAGCCGAGATTCTTCGCCTGAAAACCTATTCTGGTTTTATGATGTCTTTCCAGGGCATGGTTGACCGTGAACAGGAGCATATGATGTTCCTACTGTTCTGGCTTAACCGATTTGTCTTCCCCAATGTGGATGGCAGTGTTAGCCCAGAGTACATGCACCTGGCTGAAGCTCTTCACAATGAATCGGGTCTGGCTACGGCCCTTTTCATGCTGGCCTCACTTTACCACTGCCTCTATCAGATTACGGTCAATCCTCTCGACCTTACTGTGTGTGGACCTATCTGGATGGTCCAAATTTGGCTGGAATGGTATTTTCCTGAGCTTGGGACCGAAGATTTGGTGTATCTTGAAGACGACGTCCCTGCCATTGCTCTAGCCATCGCTCCGAAGAGATTGATCAGCACCGGGGAGTGTTTTGTCTTTTTCCGGGAGTGCAGAAGGCACCCCAGCGAAATTTGGTTTCGCTCCCTTGGCTGCGACCTTCCTTGGTTCACAGACGGCGGCCTTCATCAAGCTCCGAGTCAGTGGAGGGAACTGACCAATTTCCGGTCTCAGCTTCATGCTGACATGAGCCTCTCTTGCTTGGTTAGCAGGGACCTTTCCTTTGGAGGGGTCATGAATGATAAAAGGTGCGGCTATGGAGTTGAAGCTTACAACCCTCAGTTCGTCAGCCGGCAATTTGGGTTTGTCCAGCCTATCCCCGAATTGAGATACAGCTCTGCGAACAAGGGTAGCTCCTGGCGCAATTTGGCTCTGAGACCTGAAGCGATAAAATTAATACGGTCTTGGAAGAGCCGAACTGTTAGAGTCAGAGTGCCCCCGTATACTCCTTCCTCACTTTGCACCTCAAACTTCCACGAATTTTGGGAAGGGAGACTGTTCTCTTGGCTCCCTGAACCTGCCAAGCTCTTCCATACTTCTGCTTTTCAAGGTTGCCCTTTTGCCCGAGAGATGACGGATGACGAAGAAAAGTCCATGAGGAGGAGGTTGCTGCATCTCTAGGGTATAGCAGTAATAGGTGGGCGCCTGAGACTTTGGCTTTCTCTTTTAGTCTTGATTTGTTAATTTCTAACAATCTGGATTGTTTTTGGTGATTGACAGAGACGATTCAAGGCGAACCTCTTGTTCCAGAAACCACTGGTAAGACCCTGATTAGTCTTACTCTTTTGATTCTTCTTTCTTTATATGGGTTACTTTTTCTTACAGCAGCTCGGGTTGACGTTGCCTCTTCTGATAATGTTGCCTCAGAAGGAAGAGTGGAAGAGTTTTCTGTCCCTCCTCCTTCTTCTTACCCCTCTGGCCCTGGGCCATCAAGTGTAGATAAGGGAAAGGCCCCTCTGGTAGAGGAAGCAGGAAAAGAAGAAGAAGAAGAAGGAGAAGAAGAAGGGGATGAAGAAGGGGATCTGCCCCTTCAGAGAAAACGAAGGGCCCCATCCTCGCCGGGCTTTGAGAACGTCAATCCTGAAGGAGGTTCGAATTTCTCCTTTTTTTAAGTTCTTGCCCTTGATAAGCGGGTTTTCAAACAGAATTATTTATTTATGGTCCCAGGTGTTAGTGAAAAGAGGACGAGAATGGATTCCTCTTCTAGCGAAGGAGATGAACCAGAACTGGGTTCCATGCCAGTTCCTCAGGTTCGACTTTCGACCTTGCTCGAATTTTCCTCAATTTTCTTCAATACCTGTCTGAGATTGTTGTTTGCGATTGCAGCACCCAGGCAAAGAGAAGGTTACGGGCCCCTTTACAGACGATGGGCGCCCCCAAAAAATTACTCTGAAAGTGAGGACTATCAAGCTCGAGGAAGGAGTTGACCTCCCTCCTTATGATCCTCTACCCGCGCCAGATCCAGCCATGACCCATATGAGCCGCCCTATTTTCTCAAACCTTGGAGCATCTGGGGCTTTCGGACCTCAGTCCAGACGTGCTGACAATCTTACAAGTGCTAAGGGCGGGAAAGTCCTTCTGACCCTAAGCAAGCCGAATGTGGTGCTTGCTAATGCAGTGGAAGGGCTTAAGGCTCTGTGGAACTCGATTAGGGCTCCAACTTTTGACCCGGTGGCGGATCATGATACCCTTTCGAAGATTCAGCCTCTTCTCTGTCAGATTGCTGAAGTGAAGCCACATATTGCCCCTGCATGCAATCACCTGGACCGATGGCTAAGCAAAACACTGAAGCACATTTGCATAATCAAAAGTATCCTCCCTTATGCAGTAGATCCTGAAGAGATTCTGGAAGATCATTGTGATCGCAGAGAAGGATTTGTTGGCGCTGTTGAAGCGGCGGAGGAGGTTCTAGACAGGCTTGAGGCGTTGGAACAAGAGGAAGTCGCTCTGAAGGGTGAAATTTCTGCCGATCTCAAATTGAAAGCTGAACTGGAAGCCTAGATGGCGGATATTCGGGCCCGAATTGCGG